CATTTTAATTATGGTTTGTTTTGGTTGGGTTTTTTGAAAAAAATAAACAGGCAACTGTTGTTTTAGTGCTTGTGAGATGAGAGTGTGTGTGTGCTTGGGCCGAGCAATGTAGTTCTCCCTTTATTCTAGGGGCTCCAGAGAAGGCGGGATCATAACAGGGCTTTGAGTGGGAGCTGGGTCCTGAGGCCCCAAGGCCTCACTGCCCCTGATTGTTTCCACCACCAGACTCCATTCAGATCTTCTTGACTCAAACCATTTTCGCTCCCCGCAGCTGTAGTATGAGGCCAGCCCACTTGGAAGCATCAGACCCCCTGCAGGCCATAGAGCCCAGCCAGCACAAGACCCAGGCCTTCTGATGCTACCCAGCAGGCTTCTGACTCATTTCCCTGCCTGCCCTCACTGGGCACCAAACAGCAGTTGACAGCCAAAAGAAAGCTTTCTTTGTGATTTTCCCACTCCACTGGCCTAGAAAAGATAGAGTGGACTTCCTGTTGTGGGCACTGGAGCCAGAGAAATCCCTTAGGGACTGACCCAGAGTGCCTTCTCTATGGTCACCTAATTGCCTCAGACATTCAGGGCGTCTACCCTGTGTCAGCCAGCACTGAGCTGCCAAGAGACATGAATTAACCATGCTTTCACCCCTCAGAGCCCTCTGCCTGGTGAGAAAGGACAATGTCGCCAATTATGATAACCTGATGCCTCTGCTAAATGCCTCAAGGGAGCTCCGGGGTGCTACAAGTTCTTTTTTTCTCAGGGTGATATTTCCAGGGTGGTGGTTGACTGAGGTCAAATCTGGCAACAGTACCCCCCAGCCCCACTCTTAGGAGAGTGATTAGCTGGGCGAGACAGTGGGCATCTCTGTGGAACCAAGTTTGGGCCCAGAGAAGGGGAACAAGGGACAGAAGCAGACAACATTCCAGCCAAGAAGCTGGCCCCAAAAGTGGCTGAGCCACGGAATGATGGAGAGGGCTTATGCTATGAAAATGCCAAGGAGGGATTTGGTGGAAATGTCATGACAGCCCTCAGTCAAGGGTTTTGACTTGAGTTGGGAACCCGAGGGAGTCCCCAACACCTTTTAAAGGATATCCTGAATATCCCTGGGTATGTGTATGTAATCATTTTTCTAGAGTGGGCCCACAGATTGAATCCAGTTATCAAAGGGGTCCCTGAGCCCACCAGCCCAATAGGGTTAAAATTTCCTGTCCTGTGTGGACCAAAGCATTAGGCATGGGCAGAGCTGTCTCCTGCACTGATAAACGTGAAGTCAGTTTCCCTCCAGCTCTTCCCTCTCCTGCCACTTGGCTAAATGCTGTATGTCACATCCTGGAATGTCAGAGCGGAAGGAGCCCTCAGAGCATCTAGGCCACATCTAGTCAAGGGATTTGTGAAAGTCCTCTGGGAGATGGCTCAGATACCTGCTCCGTGGGAAGATGGTGCTACAAGTTCTTGGTTCCCCTCCACCACTTCTCTAGAACAGCCTGGATTTTAGCCATTGTGTATATATTGGTATCCTACATGGGATTTTTTTCTTTTTTGCAAAATGGGTTTTGTTGATAAAAAAAGTTTGGAAATTATAGTTTTAGTGTAGCCCCCTCATTTTGTGCATTGAGGCACTGAGGCAGACAAAAAGGGAAGGGGTTTGCCCAAGGGCAAAGAACAAGTTAATAGCTAGTGTAGATCCACATTTCTGGCAACATCAGCATCACCTGAGTACTTGTTAAAAATGCAGATATTGAACCCCACTCCTGACCTGAATCAGAAGGGTTGAGGGTGAGCAGCAATGTGGTTTAACAAGCTTTTCAGGTGATTCTGATGCACGCTCAAGTTTGAGATGCACTGGCATAGAAAAGAAAGTTATCTGAAGACCTAGGTTCCAGGTAAGCTCCACCACTTAACAGGAGCATCCTGGGACAGATACTACCATGGTTTTCTTCATCTGTAGAAGGAGGATAATATTTGCCTCACAGTCTTGTTGTAAGGATCAAAAGAGATAACAGACATGAAAATGCTCTCTAAAGCTTATGCTTACAAAGGTATGTATGAGGGATGTGAATTCATGCCAGGGTTAGTGGGCCTTGAACTCAGGAATCAGGACTCCATATAACCCAGGACAAAGTGCTGTTCCCTGGCCCTCAAAGACTGACCTAGAGATGAGCAGCAGGCTATCCGAGCTCATTTCTAGTCCAGGTCCAGAGAAAGAGCCATGGGTCATTGTTGGCTGGAATCTTCCTGAAACCTGGGATTTGTGAAGCCAAGTACCAGGGTGGGCTGCTACAGATGTCAGGGACAGGGGTGGAGGTAGGAGGGTGGCAGAGGGCCGACCAGGAAGCAACCTTAACCCACTGTCCTTGGATCTTTTCCTTCTGACTAGAGATCAGAGACTGATTAGGAAGTCTTTCAACTGCACACATTTAACTGGGGAACAGGGTTGGGGATCGAGGGGAGGGAGCATAGATTATATTATTATTTAACAACAGTAATTGAGAGTCACCCCTTCTGAAAGGAGACATTAATAATTCATCAATGATGAAGAACATGATTGTTGCCCCTAAGGAGCTCCTTGTTCTGTGGGGGAGTCTATGTGCCAACATAATTATAACAGAGTGACAAGTGCTAAAATAAAGGTATTCTTCAAGATGACTGCAAGGCCCACTGGGGGAAGGACTCACAATGTCTAGACAAGGATATGGGGCACCTTAATAGAGGAGGTGACATTAGCAATGAGCCCGAACAAGGAGTAGAAGGAAGGGAAAAAGGCTGGTGGGGATAGGATAAGAAAGAGCATGTCACATTGTGGCATCCGTGAAGGGCCCAGGATGATTGGTACGTGGGTTCCGTGAAGAAAATGTAGCTCCTGAGGCCAGAGGTAAGCTAAAGAGGGATATGGTCAAAGTAGTTGGTTTTCCACCTATGATTAGGGAGAGGCATGGAACATTGAATTGTCCCTTGGAATTCTAACTATTCTTACCACTCTCCCTACCCTCATGCTGCCACTGTCCTCCTTTTTTAAAAAAAAATTAAATGTATTGGGGTAAGATTGGTTAATAACATTATACGTTTTGGGTGTACAATTCTATAACAAGGAAAGTCTTAATTTACTAATTTCTTCTCTAAGTGTACGTCATTCCCTCACAAAAGCCCAAGTTCCAGAAGACAGGTCTCTCTCCCTAGCCCATTATAGGCCACGCCCCTATTTGGTACTCAGAAAGAGCTTGATACATGCATGCCTGAGAAATGTGAGAAGGCAGCAAGAGAAAGGGTCAGGAGAGATGAGCTTTTCGTCTCAAGGATGATAAAAGAAAAAAAAAGAGAAAGATTCTCAGATTCCTGAATAGCCCCTCTCAAAGGCTCTTAGGCAGGGCTCCCCTGCAGCCACTGTGGCTATTTCTGCCTTTAGAATGAGACTGGCCTGGAGTGGGGGTGGGGTGGGGGAGAGATGAGCAGGAGGCTCCAGAGAGGCCTGAGGGAAGATCAAGGACTCCTTGGCCTGGAACAATGAGACCAGGGCTCCAATCCTGACTTTGCCACTAACTCCCTGTTCAGCCTTGGTCAAATCTCGGTTTTTGGAGTCTCAGTTCCCACACGTATAACCTGATGGAGTTGATGCAGCTGAGCACTCCCCTAGTGACTTTTCTGTGAAGTAAAGGGTGCCATGTCACTTTTAGTTCTGATATTCTGGCTAAGGCTCAGCAGAGGATGCCTCTGTGACCCTGAGGCTATTATTCAGGGGACAAACTGTAGGTTGTTTACAAAAATAAGGCTGGGCTCTGAGCCCTCCAACTGGTTCTGACCCACCAGTGGGGAGGCCTGGTGCATCCCAACCCTGTAGAAAACACCAGTTGACTAGCATTTGGAGCTATATTAGTATACAAAAATTAGAGGTCATATGCTGACTATGATAAAATTTAGATGAACTCATTTGGGGAGACCCCGCTCCTTATAGCTTATCTCAAGATGCAAGTCCCAAGGACAGAAATTTAATTTTTTAGGAGCAAACTGGAGTGTATGCATATGTAAGTGTGGTATGGCTTTTGGTGTTGATGTTCTTAAAGAAACAGAGCCATTAGTGGTTAGTAGACAAATAGTTTATACAGTAAATAAGTGTGGTTACAGTTCATTGTTGTCAATGATACAGCATTTTCCATCATGATGAAAGGTGAAACAAAACCTCATGAAGTAGTCATAGCACATTCATGCTGGTACGAACGTATTGCAAAGCATTGCACGTGCACTATAGGGGCAGACAAGACTGGGGATGGAGTATATTTTCACTCACCTCTGGTTGGCTTTGTATATTTTGTCATTGAGACTTACATTATGTTTGGGTCAAACAAAAAACCCAAAGAGGTTTTATAAAAGTTTACAACCATTAAACAGTATTGTTTAATCCCACAAATGGATAAAGCAAACTACTATAGCTCAATGATTCACAAACCAGGACTAAAAATAGTCAATCTGCCTATGTATATAGCTAGCTACAATATGATAGATATTGAATATGCTGAGTCTTTTCAAAGGCATCGACTACTTTAGACAAGCGGGTTCCCGAAATATACTGGTTTGATTTCCAATGAGAACTAACGGTAGTGTCATTTCACTTGAAGACTGTGCACTCCTCAGTGTCAGACCTGAGAAGAAGCAAACTAGGGGAAGGCAGAGAAGGGTTAGGAGGAGACCTGAGCAGGACTCTTTGGACAGCTTGACATTACTTAGCCTGTGCAGTTCCAGACCTGGTTCACAGAGTAAAACGAAGTGTATTGAAATCGTTGGCCCTCAAAAAGGGCATTTGTACAAAGTCTCATACTTACAGCATAGATATAATGGTAACTGAGCGCCTCTCAAAATGAATTATTTTTATTAGAAGAAAACCCAGTGCCACAGGTTAATGGATATCAATGTTTGAATATTGTATAAAGATAATTTATTCTAAAATAGAAAAAATGGGATTTAGAAGTATTCTCCTGAAAACTAGCAAAGAGAGAGAATATATATATATATATATATATATATATATATATATAGTCTTTACTTAGAAGAAAAGTTTTGTAGACCATTTCCATAAGGCATCTCTTTCTCTATTCCATACCTTGCACCTTAAGAGAGAGTGCAATGGCTGTATGTTACCTTTGAAAAGTCTCCCTGGATTGACCATGCCACTCCAGAGTCACACTTCTTCAGGTTGAAATAAAACATAACAACAACAGCAAAATCACAAAAATAAATTAAAAAATCACGAAATCTACAAAATCGAAGGCCTGAACAGGCACAGACTTCCTATGAGTTCAGAAACTCAGTGAAAGAATTAAAATTGCAAAGCACCTCTTGCAAAATATACTGCTTCTTGAAAACCACACAAAACACTGCAGTAAACCCTGCTGAGTGTTTGGAGGTAAAAATCTGGGAAGGACACACACTTAGCCTCAGGAAGGAAGCTTGAGGAGTTTTTTTGTTTTGTTTTGTTTTGTTTTCATTTTTTTTAATCAAGGGAGCCAAGAGAGTCCCAATGCTTTTGCTATTTTATAATTAAAGACAAAATGGAAAAGTCAAGAAGTGTGCAGACTTCAATAAAAAGAAAATATTTGTCGAATAACTTCACTAAGAATCAAGCTGGATTTATGCATTCATAATTGTACAGCTCCATTTATAGATAGATTCCTTCAGGTGATTCACTACCACTGACATTTTTTACACAAAGTCCCTTTTGCAAGGACATATTAAATTGAATAGCTAAAGGGAACTTATTGCAATATAATGCTTGAAACTACACACAATAGCTGTGCACAGTAATGAAGAGGCCTTGAAAAACGGTCTTTGTCTATAAACTACGACTGTCCTTTGGAAATGAAAGCTCCCTCACAACCCCTGGGCTACATACCTGTGACACACGGTGCCACAAACATCATGGTGAAAAGTCAGTACCAAACTTAGTTTAGGATGAGTTTTGTACATTTGTTTCTATACAGTCAGGAAAAAAAGAGATACAATTTGTATCAACAAAAGGTCGTTTCTGGTTATTTGAGGCATTGTTCCTAGCCGCTTTGGTTCATACACATTTTATGAGAAGAGAAGAATGATAATTTTTTTAGGAAATAATACATATTCTGCCTTAAAAAAAACCAAAAACGATTTCCTGTGTTGGGAGAAGCTTACAGTTTTTTGAGTACTGAACATGAACATGCTCCAGATGACTTGCAGCTGACAAGATTAATCTTGTGCTTCCCTGTAAATTGTGCAGCTAGTGGATACTGTGGTACCATTGCTGATTTGGGTAGGAAGATGAACTAACTGTCACAAAGGCAGTAGAGTCATCTAAGATTGTCAAATACCCTGATTTAGACATAGGACAGGTTTAGAAAGTCCAACAAGTTGAAAGTATGAAATGGTAGTTGTGTGAAATAGCAAGCACTTCAGTGGCAACTGTCACTCTCTATGGACCTACCTGGCAGAAAATATTTTTACACCTTAATATGGAAAGATCAGAGGGTAAGAGATGAATGTGAAGCTGTGGTTAACTGAAGAGAAACAATGATTGTGATGCAGTTTTGGTCAACTAGGACAGAGACAGAGAGCCAGAAAGCAGCATGCAAGCCATTATCGAACCGCCAGAAACAACCCTGACTACAGCCTCACATTCGGAGTGTTTCAGAGTAAGAAATATATAGGCAGTGTCACACCTTCTCATGAAGAAACAAAAGGCCAATACCAGGCCTTCTCAACTTTCATGAAAAAACGACCATAGAAATTAGCAAGTGCTAGCTCAAGAAACAGTGAGCTGATATGGTTCAAAATGTTGAACTATACAATGGATTCAAAAAGAGGGTTCATTTAGCGCAGTTAATAAAACAACAACAAAAAGTGCCTCTTCTAGAGGCATTTAGCTACAAACGTTCCCACCCTGAGCAAGATACAAGTTGCGCAAATGGTACCACTCAACCCAAGGTCTTGCCTTCTTAACACATTTAAGAATTATCTAAGGACAAGTGCACTCTGTGTGAATTTGAAGTGCGTAACTGAGCCAGCTATTAGCAGAGATGTAGCACTCCCTTTTGGAAGCTGCCTTTTTCCATCTAGAAAAATCCCCTGGTTTTGTTTTCTAAGGAAATTCTACTCCACCAATGATCGACCTTATTGCCCAAAGAGTGGACAGCAGGAGAAAGTGGATTACATGGCTGTACACTGTCCTCCATTACTTTTCATCTTGTGATGTCGAATACTGCATAGATCAGAAGTCCAAAGAGCATCCATTAGATCCTCTGTGAGTCCAGCTTTTGTGTTCATCATTTAATGCTGCATGAGTTTGGCCATCTCCCCTGGGATAAGGGAAGTGGACTCTGGTAGTAAATCCCTTGGCCCTGGTCAAACTCTTCTGCGCTTATCTAGCACACACAATGCTTGGAACTTGAGCTTATCCATCAGCTACTCTGCAGAAGAAGGCTGCAATCTGATCCCTAATTTGCTGAGGTGAAGAGACTTAAAAGCTAAGAGCTGTCAATAAATGTTGACAAGTAAAAAGTGCAAAGGAACTCGAGCTAATTTGCTCTGGTGCCTAAGAAAGCAATGTTCAAACATTGGCATGTAATTTCACTTTCAAAACTAGTTGAAACTATGACATGTGACATAAAATCATCAAGTCAGATTTGTGATCTATACAGCTGTAGACTAAGGACTGTGTAGAGCCTATCTTCTCATCACTATATAAAAGGTTATACAGAGATACACACACATCTCAGACTAAATACATACAGTCATACATGCAATATGATTGCTAACAACAGGTTTGAAATATAGTTCTAGAAGCTTCGATGTGACCTTATAGGTTGGTTAATAAAGATATTGAATGGTCAGATCCATGCAATAAAGTATGCATTTACTTTTAAATAGCTTTAAATATTCCTATTAAAATCCTAAAAGTTTAATTCAACATATGATCTGATCTTGATGCTCTCTAAATTAGATATATCATCAATACTTTATATATAAAATGTGTGACTAAGACAATGTTCGTAACAGAACCCTTTAGGGTTTCTTGCATTTAGGCCTCTCCCTCTGGGTTTTGCCCTCCATGACTTGCATGGTGCAGTGCAAAAGGGCATGAGACTTGGAGTCAGAGGACTTGGGTGGGAGTCCTGACTAGGTCATTCGTGAGCAGTTTGACCTTGGCAAGTCACTTAATCTCACTGAGCTTCAATTTCCTTGTCTAGAAAACAAGACATTAGTAAGACTTACCTCACAGGGTTGTTATGCGCTTCAATGACATAAACACTCTGTAACTTGTAAAGCGCAACACAAAATTATTAGTCACTATTACCATAGTATTAGTGCATATTAGTATTAATATTCATATTTGTATAAAGGAATAGGTCCTGTGTCATGTCAACGTGCAGCCCTAAGCTTAGAAACAATCAAGGCTGCCAGTTGTTGGGCATCTGCTGTGTGGGGATTCTTCTCCATCACTGCAAGGACGATGTTGGAAGGGAAAATATTGCAGAGGTTCTTGTAGGTCTGATACTGGTGCTCTGGGATCATATGCTCCCTGGAATCATTGCACATTCCAACCCAAGGATTCCTCCAAAGCTGCTCCATCTTTTCAGGCACACTCCGTACCATGACTGGCTCATAGCATGGTTGCATGAGGTTGTTACTCAAGGGATAGGAGTGGTAGCCATAGGAGTCGGTTGCACAAGGCAGTGGGTCCCAGCTGGCATGTTGTTCCCGGCACAAAGGAGGTCGTCTTTGCCTCATGGGGTTGCTCTCATAGAGGCGGGAGTCAGAAATGCTGTCCATCCGAGTCATCACCAGGGCACGTCCTGGCTGGGGGGTTGCCCCAGGATGGATATTAGGAGGCATGGGGTAGTCTCCAGGACAGCTGGAGCGTGCTCCAGTTGCTGGGTGCTGGGCATGCAGAACTAAGTGGGGCACAGACTGCTTGTGGGTGGCTTGCTTAGAGTCCTCTGGGCCATAGCTCTGTACTCGCGTTAAGGCTTCATGGTAACCATGAGGAAAAGGCTGAAGACGGTTCTGAGATGCTGAGTGATGCAGCTTCAGGCTTCCTTCAGGGTGGGTATCAGCTACAGCCATGTACAGGTTGTTGTAAGAGGAATAGTTGTCACTCCTGGTATGGCTCATACGGCTCTCAGGATAGAGGTTGGGATTCCTGGCATACACCCCCCGGTCTGCTTCAGCCATGTAGTACTCGCGATTATGCACGCTATTGATGTTCAGTTTGGAGAAGTCGCCTAGCATTGAATAGTAGCCATGGTCCCCCACGGACTCAAACTTTGGATATTGCTCAGCATAGCTAATAGGGGTCCCATGGCTGTTGGTAACCAGGATGGGGGGGTACTGCATGCTGGCCATGTGCTCCAATGAGGACTTCTGGTGGGGGAAATGAGAGGATCCTGGCACTGGGCTGCTGGCCGAACGGGTGTTGAGTGCACCCACTGCATGGCTTTTTGGAGGTGAAATTGTGGGGACACTTAGGGCAGTTACAAGTGAGGGGACAGAGCTGGCCTCGGGCTTACGGGCAATAGACAGCCATTCCTCAGGCTCCATAGCCACAGACCGGATGCTGGGATCTGACTGGCGCTTGGGGGCCACACGCTTGACTTCTGAGGTTATCTCACCTTTGGCATTAGACAGCCCTGTGCCACACTTGGCCAGGGTACCTTCGCTCATGGTTTTCACTGTGGAAAGTTTGGCACTGATGCGGAGCTCATCAGCCACCGAACGCTGGGGTTGGTTGGCCCGCTCCGGATGGTAGTATTTGCACTTGTGGCCGTAGGTGCATTTTTTGCCTGAAAAATAATGCCTTGGGGTAAGACTCTCTCTCAAAGTGGTGCAACTCTCTGTGCCAGAAACTGTTATAACAACGTGGTCACTCAGGTTAGCGTTTTACTATTTAGGGTTAAGGCAAAAAATCAACTTTCCATAAAGATGAGACAGACAACATCAAGGAGGCATCACACATTGTGAGGGGAGAGGGAAAAAGTGGGAAGCTGGGGAGGAGACTGCAGTGTCAAAGCTAGGAGCTGAGCAGTTGAACAGCCTTCATTTTCCTAGAATTCACAAATTTTCCTAGGCATAACCTGCATGCTGAGGTGGTGTAAAGCAGCAGCAGGCAGCATGGTGCGATGCAAAGAGCACAGGCTTGGAGGCCAGTCAGACCTAAGTTTCAATTCCAGCTATGTCACTGAGTAGCCGTGTGACCTTGGGAAGTGACTTAACTTCCAGAGCCTCATTTTCTTCTTCTGTAAACAAGGTTTATAATAATGCCTATATTATAAGACCATTGTGAAGGTTAAATGAAGATAATGGACATGAAAATACTCTATGATTTAAATAAATGTTAATTGAGAACAAAACCCAAGATGTTCCATAAACAAATAATTATCCAAAAAGAGTTAACATCCAAAGTAGCCTCAGACCAGGCAGCCCATGCTGCACTGTTAAGCTCACAAACTTTGTCACAGAGGGATTTGGGTGAGATCATGAAAGTACTCTAGAAAACCATTATTTAAAAAAAAAAAGTAAATGGAAACAAAGTTTAGAAGCAAACTGGAAAGTACAGATCCGATGAATAGGGTATTATTACTTGACAGAGGATGCAGTCACCTGCGTGAGAGACATGTCTTTCTTGGGGCCAAACACAATTTGGCATTGTCCTTTCTGCTTCTGTTGGTCCTGTGAGGTTCTGTACTTCCCTGCCCCCAGCAACAATGCTCAGGACGAAGGCAGCTAGAACACATGCATCATTTTAACAAGTGATAACTAATCTTCCCTTCAATTCTAGTTACCTTTTTGTCATGCCGTTTCTAGGATGTTTCTTTAAATGCCTAAATGAGAATACATGAAGACATAGACTTTAACACACAGAAAGTGGACAAGCCAGAATTTTCCATTTGAAAGAGAAACCTTGAAGAGGAAACTATTCACAGAGACCTTACGTTTCCCTTAGTAACATAACACTTTACAAAAACTCAGTTTTTCACATAGGTACTCACCATAAGGGCATGGTTGCTTCTTGTGCTCGGGAACAACAGGTTTCTTTCTTAAGAAATTTTCAAGGCTTGGGCCATGGCGTCCTAAGGGATCATCTGGAGGCATAAATCTGAAAGCAAGCAAGCAAGAGGTAAATGTTTTCCTTTCTGTTCCCACTACCCCTTATCAGAAATTCAGACCCCTCATTATCTCTCACCTATACTACTGTCACCGCCTTCTTATTGTCCTTCCTGCCTCAAGTCTATCTTTTGCTAAGCCAGCAGTTCTTCCCTCTGTTCCTACTTGATCACACAAAAAAAGGATTTCTCCTTTGCATAATTCTTCCATGGACTATATGTTTCAGCCATATTGACATGCCTGCTGGTTTCCCCAACATACAACCTACTTTCACATCTTTATAGCTTTATTCATGATGTCCCCTTTACTTGTAATGCCCAGTAGCCCCCTTTCCTCTGTCTGTAAACTTCATCTCAAATGTGATCTCCCCTGTGAGGACTTTTCCTATCATTTCACACAGATAAAGCGATTTAAAAAATTCTAATCATAGCACTTATCACAATACATTGTGGTTGTCTTTTTCTCTCTCCACTATACTTTGCGCTTCTTAAGGGTAAGTCATTTCTTATTCAGCCCTTTATCCCCATGGAAGCCAGCATAATGCATGGTACACAGTAAGCATTCAGTAAATGTTTATTGACATGAAATGAAATCTACTCCTAATGGTAACTTGGATTTAGGCTATTTAGAGCCTACTGGAAAAAAGCGTACTTGTCATTCACAAAAGAATACATCAGCAATCGCTCTTCTATAAACTTCTTCCATTCTGGCTTTTCAACTTGAAGGTCTCGATAGTTATCATTGGATACGATGATGCCGTCGGAGTCAAAAGCCAATTTGACTATGAACCGGTCATCATAGCAGACAACTCTCCTGCCCTGGACCCTTCGGGATGGTGTGAAGACAAGAATCTTTTCCTTCTCCAGTTTACGTAGGATATCTTGATCTGTCAAAATATGGATTACATGTTACAGAGTAGAAATCATCTTTGCAAATTAACAGCATTATCCCCACATTACAAATACATAACATGGTACTAGATGAATATATATTTTTTTACCCTTAGAAAGTGGCCTCTATCCCTGGGTCTGGCACCAACCTGGATTGTGACCTTTGTCAAGTCACCTACATTCCTCTTTGGACTTTAGTTTTATTTTCAATAAAATGAAGGAACTGGATTTAATGACAACTAAGTTTTAAAAACTATCACAAAGAGTGAGAAATACGTAACCCTGGTATCCTAGAACTCTTGATGTTTGTTTTGCCCTTTATCTGAAGCACCCGCTTTTGACTGCTGAAAAGAACAGGGCAGTATGGTGAGGATGTATCTGCCAGGAGGAGAGTAAAGTATCACTCCTCTGAACTTACATTTTTGCTGCAGCTAAGGGGAAACATTAAGCTGTAGCGTGTGAATCTGACCCCATTCCTTTGTGTCTCTTAATTTCTGAAGAAAGAAAGCTTGCAGGCTGGGCTGAAGCAGGGCCAGGATCCACTCTCAGACTGAGACTGGGAGCCTATTCAGCTGCTAGCAGAGAGTGGCACGACACAGCTCCAACAGCCATTCACTGGACTTTCTGATTTGCCACATCAGGCAACAGTTGATACTCATAGGACTGTGGTCTATCTGCTCTAGATTGCTGGAAAGAGCTAGCTTCACCTATTGTTGTTAGTGAATGTAGTGATTCTACTGCCATTAGGGCTGTATATGATTTGGGGGGAACTAAGGCACTTTTGCTTTCATAGGCCCCTTCTTCCATAAAGAAATATTAAAAATTACACTTTAAACTGCATTGGTATAGAGACAAATTAGTTAGATACAATATTATACATTCATTGTTATTATATTCAACTTTTCCTCCTGATGTTAAAAAGAAAATAAAATTAAAACATTTCTATAGGACCCTAAAAGTATCATGGGCCCTAGGCACTGAGCCTATTATGTCTCACAGATAAGTGGGCTCTGACTGCCATGGGACTTTTCTCTCTCTCTGCTTTACTCCCTAATTTGCAAAACCACAGTCACTTCTCTGGTACAGAATGAGAGTCATTGTCTACCATGGTTTCTTTAGTCTTTTGGGAAACTTGGTCACATTTATAACCAGATCATCTCCTTTTAGTCTGAAGTTTATGGTCGAATAGAAAACCACACCTTTTTTTTTCAACTGTGTGCTTTATTCTTTGCTGAATTAAAGTTGTCTCTATTTAAGTGTCATATGCCACAACACAATGATGATTTTATTTGGAACAGGAAAAATATGCTTAAAATACATTTAATGAAGTACATTTTCTAATTAATTTTATTTTTTTATATTAGTTTCAGGTGTTCAAAACAACATAATGATTAGACATTTACATCGCTCACAAAGTGATAACCCCTCCCCAGTCTACTATGCCTCTGACATCATATATAGCCGTTACAATACTATTGACTATATTCCCTATGCTGTACTTTACATCCCATGACTATATATACATATATGATGCCAAAAAAATGTGTACACATTTTAAGACACGAAAACTGTATTACGATTGTAATACCCAATGTATACCGATAACAAAAGATGAATACAAGTCACATTTGACTTCTGCAATTACAGGAGGTGCTCAACCTGGATACCATCAGCATCCAGACACTTCTGATCATGGCTAATTGCTGCATGAGCAACGTTGACGAAAGTGTCCACTTGTATACATTTTTTTGGCACCCCAGGTGTGTGTGTGTGTGTGTGTGTGTGTGTATTATACACGCACACATATATACATATACACACATATATACACATACATACACACACACACATATATATATACACATACATACATATATACATACATACATACATACATACAAAGGGTGTCAAAAAAGTGTATACACATTTTAAGAAAGGAAAACACTATATTAAAATTACACTGATGGTAGCCACTTTGAGCACCTCTTGTAATTGCAGAAGTCAAAAGTATTCATCTTTTGTTATTGGTATATATTGAGTATTACAATTTTAATACAGTTTTTCCTTTCTTAAAATGTGTATACATTTTTTGGTACCCTCTGTACACACACAAACACACACACACATTTAATTATAGTTGACATGCAATATTATTCTACTTCAGCTTCAGGTGTACTTTGCAACAACATGGATGGACCTAGAGGATATTATGCTAAGTGAAATAAATCAGACTGAGAAAGACAAATACCATATGATCTCATTTATATGTGGAATCTAAAGAACTGAATAAAAGAGCAAGGTGAGGGGATGAGAAAGCACAAATTGGTAACAACAATATCACCACCGGTATACAAAAGACAATTTGGGGAATACAATCAATAACGTTGTAAAGATGTTGTAGGGTATCTGATGAACACTTGTCTCATGAGGGAGACCACTTCATGGACTGTGTAGATGCCTGACCACTGCACTGTACACCTGAAGCTGAATAATAATGAATGTCACCTGTAACTTAATATATATAAATATAGTCACAGGATGTGGAGCACAGCATAGGGAATAGAGTCAATGGAATTGTACCAGCTATATACCATGTCAGAGGAGTAGTAGATTGGGGAAGGGGGGTTATCACTTTGTGAGGGGTATAAATGTCTAACTAGTACATTGTTTTGTACACCTGAAACTAATAAAAATAAATAAAAGAAAACAGAAACAAAATACATTTAAGTATACTTAACAAACTTAGGAAAAAAAGTTATCTAAATCAGGACCATCAACCTCTCCCGAAACTATCTTGCTAGCTGTGCCTCTGGATGAGAAAAAAATATGTTATTTGAAATCAGACCTGTAATTGGTGCATCAGGTCGGGACTGCTCCTTTCTCCATGCAGGCACAAATACAGTAATATCTTTATGGCCTTTATCTAGAAACCAATCCACAGCAAGTTGTATTCCTCTGCAGGAGAACTCTTCTTTATTCCCATGGCTTTAGAGAGAGAGTGGGTGGAGAGAAGATGACAACAGGTAGCAAAGAAATACTCCTTAGTACCAAGACATTAACAACAGACATTTTCTTTCTTGATAATGCCAAAAATGTATGTTTAAAAAGAGCAAATCAAATTCTTTTTATTCAATCATTACAGACATTGCCGTTATTATTATAGTTTCATTCAAGGTCACAGATGGTTAATATCGACTCCCAATTTATAGCAGCCCTGGTGGTTATTACCTATCACTACTTCCATCCTCTCTCTTCTCTTTCTGTTACTACTACCACCTTCTTTTCAAAGACGCAGATATTCTCAACAGATGAAAAAAGAAGAGATGTCACCAGAGGTTTAGATAAAGTTTATATGGAGGGTTAGTTGGAGATGAGTTGTAAGCACATATATTAAGCTTAAAAAAGCACATTGACAGCAAAAATTACACACATAGATGCTGGCTGAAAATATATAATTATCACATTTAATTAAATATAAAGCACCAACAAAAAGCACATTACTGAAAATTTTAAGATGTGGGAAATGCTCACAATATAATGCTGAAAGAAAAAAGAAAGGGAGTGACATTTGGAAGCGTGGGCTGGTGGCGTAGGGCCCGTCGTCCTGGTTGGTTCCCGGGAGGTTGCCTGGGCGTGTCTGGCACTGGCGCTGGCCCTGCGGCCATTTTAGGGTGGGATTGTCCCCAAGCCTGCTCCTACCTCGTAGCCAGTGTTTCCGGGACGCGCTGTGAGGGGCTTGTTAACCGTCCGTCTCTTGGGGAAAGTGGCGCGGCCTCCACGGAAGGCCTCCTTTCTGTGGTGGAGAGGCCTCGAGCTGACTAGGACGCCTACTTCCCACCGGGTAGGTGTCGCCGCCTCCACTGTGTCCTGCGCCGGCCATTCCGGACTGGGGCCTGCCGCCTGTGGCCGAAGCCTCTGCCCGCTGTGGCTCTTCTGCCAGTCCGGGGACCGGCCTGGGGCGCCGACTCCGCCGCGAGGCGAGGCCGGGACCGTGTAGGCCTGTCCGGATCCTGTCCGACCCCCTGCCGCCTCGTCCGCGTACCTCGCTGAGACACTGCCAAGAGCCGGGCGATGGAACCGGGAGCGGACGGGCCCCGGGGAGGGCTGGCGCCTCGGACGGGGCCCCTGTTCCGGCTGCCTTTCTTTCGTCGGCGCTCGCCACCAGGCACTGGCAGGCTCCCCACGCCTCTCGTCGCGGAGCATCCCAGGGACCCCAAAACGGCTTCCTCTTCCCGGCCTGATGCTCGGACCAGCTACTGGATGAGGCTCCTTTCCCAGCTCTTCGCGCCGCTCTCCAGCCTGCTGCAGAAGCTGCTGATTTGGAGCCAGCTTTTCAGAAGGATGATTCCGATCAGATGGGTAGATTTCACGGGAGGCCACAGCGCCCCGAGAGCCCTGAGAGCTCGGGAGGAACCGGCTGGTCCCGCGTTGCAGAAATCTCTGAGTTCGCTGCAGCTGGTCCCCGCGGCCCAGTCGGCCGCCAGTCTCCTGGACTGGCCACAGGAGGAGCTCCACTGGCAGCGCTCGTCCCCCGATCTAGGATTGGAACTGAGAGCCCAGGGAAGAACCATAAACCCTGCGGCCCACTCATTTCTCCTGGAGCAGCAGTTGTGGGGAGTGGAACTGGTGCCAAATAGCCTTCAAACCCGTCTGTTCCCTGACCGGGAACTTGACCCTTCACCCTCCCTTCAGCCCTTAGGCAATGTCAACACCGTCTCCTATCTGCTGAACGCATCTTATCTGGACTGCCTGCGGCTGGTAGAGCTCAGCTATCAGAACGGCATTGGAAGTGGCAAGCTAGTTGACTTCCAGACAGTAAGCCCAGAGAGCAGCTGTCTGCCTGAGGACCGTTCTCATCTCCAGCCACTGAATGCGGAGATCACTAGCGCCTCGTGGCAGGGATGTCCACCTCTTTCTAGAGGTTTGCCAGAAATCCACCGTGTTTGCATGAAAAGGCTGGAATTCCTTCAGCAGGCTAGCAAGGGGCAAGCGTTACCTACCCCCAACCAAGATCATGGCTACCACCACCTGGAGGAGGAACACAGCCTTTTCCAGATGGACCCGAAGCCCTGCAGAGACAGTCTGACACAGTTTGTTCCCACTGCTGGGGTCATTCCGGGAACCACCCAGGAACCCACAGAGGAAAAAATAGAATTGACTAAACAGGTTCCTCTTGCTTTGGAAAAACAGGGTCCTTCGGAAAACTGTCCATCTTGTGAGGTACCTATGGAAAGAGAGCCTGGGGAGGACCAAATAAATGTACCTGACTCCTCAGACTTAGATGATGACCTTCCCTTTTCTGCCAGACCAGCGGGTAGTAACAGACTGATAGATTACATTTTGGGAGGTGTATCCAGTGACCACGAAACAAGTTCTGATTCAGAAGGTGTGGACTGGGATGATGGTTTTGATAGTGATCGCTCAATTTCAGAATCAGATGAACAAGACTCTGAAGGGCTTCACCTTTGGAACTCTTTCTACAGTGTAGATCCTTATAATCCCCAAAATTTTACAGCAGCGATTCAGACTGCTGCCAGAATTGTTCCTGGAGACTCTTCTGACTCAGAGAATGATTTGCCTGACAAGTCTGATCTAGAGAATTCTCTCCAGGCTGGAAACCTTCCTGAGTCTCCTGACCATAATTCTGGGGAGGAAGATGACTGGGAATCTAGTGCAGATGAAGCAGAAAGTCTCAAACTGTGGAACTCTTTCTGTAATTCAGAGGACCCCTACAACCTTTTAAATTTTAAAGCTCCTTTTCAAACATCAGGGGAAAATAGGAAAGGCTGTCATGATTCAGAGAAGCCATCTGAGTCCACTGTGGCCATTTCTGAATGTCACACCTTACTGTCCTGTAAGGTACAACTGTTAGAGAACCGAGACAGTGAATGTCCAGACTTGGTACATGGTGGGTTTTTTTCTGGAGAAAGACACATGCATATCAAGAGAAAAAAGGTAATCTTCCTTGAAGACGTTACTGAGTATTATATAAGTGGTGATGAGGATCGCAAAGGACCATGGGAAGAATTTGCACGGGATAGATGCAGGTTCCAGAAACGAATTCAAGAAACAGAAGACGCTATTGGATATTGCTTAACACTTGAGCACAGAGAAAGAATGTTTCATAGACTACAGGAAACATGCTCCAAAGGACTTGATGTTTTCGAGCCATGTTCAGATAATTCGGTAGCCCCTGTCCCTAGCATACACTAACTCTTACTTGAATGAGGTTTCTTTTAAGACAAAAATCGGCAGCTGTCCTTTGACTTTTTTAGAGGATGTGTAACTTGGATCCAGCTACTTTGTTTAACATTGTTTTGCAACATAACCTACTCAGAAATGTCCAGGTTTGAAGCCAAGACCTGATAATGAAGGTTGAGATGGTGTGATTTCTAATCTTCTCCTCTTTTATTTAGTTGATGTGTTTTTGGATGTTGTTTGCTTGCTGAGGTGAAAAGGGAACCTTTTAAGGTGTAATTTTGCACTTCCAAAACTTATTTTCTTGGGAAACAGTACAGGGTTCAAAGCTCTATTTCATTTTAAAATTATATATACCTGTGTAAAAAGTTTGGGCTCTTTTTCTTTTCTTTTCAACATTCCAAAATTAATGCGCTTTTATGTTTTCTCTATATTTTCTTAGTGATTTGGCCCTTCTACCTTAAGGCTAAGAAAATAATTTTGCATATGCTACTAACTTAAGGTACATCATCTTGTGTCATTTTTTTTCTTCTAAAAATGACTTGTGTTGAAAATATAATTGTGTTGTGTAGTAAATATAATGTAATCTCAATTTTGAAGAAAACAGGCTGTGTATAACTTTAGAGGATAGATACATCAAAACATTAATAAAAATTGTTATTCTGTGTGAAGGTAATAAGTGATTTATTTTCTTTCTCTAATTCCAGAATTCCTTTAAAAATTAAGTATTCCTTTTATAATTAGGACATGATATAAAAAGAGAAGATACTCTATCACAATTACTTGTAGGAATAAACACTGTAAATAACTTTAAAAAGCCAATTCATTTGATTGGAAATTGGAGGAGGGGAAATTATATGAATTGGGGATATTTATTGTCATCATCTTAAAAACTCACAAATGGTGTACTAGTTTGGCTGTGAAAATTCTGATCTCTTAGCATAGAATCTGGTGCTCTAACATATACATAAACCACACTAAATTACAGTAAATTCAAACAGCTTGGATGGTAAAACAAATTGGCTTACATGTACAAATTTTATTGCAAAAAAGTGGATATTATGTGTCAAACAAGATTCATCAGAAGAAAGAAATCCTTTTTCTAGAAGGCTAATTAAGACAATGTGATGAGGGCTCTCTCTTTAGAGTCCTCACTTTCTCACTAATACTCAACTACAAGAGAAATTAGCTCCAATTATATTGTTCCCTTTGGGTGAATTCATACATTATCTCAGGGGCCCCATTAATACATGCACTGTAAGACTTCTCACAATCTTACCACTCTTGAGGCACATGACAAAAACTTATTAAATGCCTTTGTTAACATTCCCAAACATGTTAATCATATTTAAAAGTCTCCAGTGAGTACCACAAAGCAATTATACCACTCTACTGAAAGCCAAAGCACTTAGAAAAAAAAAGGAAACTATATTTAACTGCCAATCCACTCCTAGGTAGCCTTGGAGACAGCTACCACTGATGGCTTCTAAAAAGTTGAACAATAGGTAAATTGGGCAAGCCCATGGCCTTTAAAGGGTTAATACTAGATGACCCCAGCATGCAACAGGCAGGTAGGGAAGATGTTCAGCTGTGATTTTTCCCACTGCTATAGTGCTGGTAAGTATAAGAATAACAGGAACTTGAGGAAATCATCATAATTGCCATAAGAGGAGGGATTTGGAGAAATAGGATGGGATTTCTCTTGGCTCTGTGGTACTAAAAAGTGTGCTCTCGCAAACACAGTTTAAAACTAGGAATAAATACAAGAGTAACATTTGCTGTTGGATACCCCAACTTTATATTCTTTATATTTTATGCTACCAAATTCTTTGTTTAAAATTATTTTTCATTATAAAAATAATAAATACTTATAGTAGAAAATGTGGAACATACATAAAATGTAAAAAAAAAACCCTGCAGAATCTGTTTTACTATCACCCAGAGACAAGCATTGGCAATATTTTGATGCATCTGTATTCTGATATCAAAAGTTTAGTATACTGAGAATTATGTTAAGAAAAAAACGTATCAGTATTTTTTTTAGCTGAGCCATCCTGCCACCTGTTGGCAGCTCAGCAGCAGCTCAGTTCAGGCTGGGAATTGAACTGCTGTTGCTCAAAGCTCGCACTCTTGAGCAAGCTCTTAACCAACTGAACCACTCGGCCTGCCTAGAAAAAAAAAAGTAAAATGTCTATAGCATTCCCTTGAAAATATATTAAAATCATGCCATTGGAGCATTCCACGAGTGCACCAAAAGCTTAATGGGAATCAGAATTCATTTTCAGCATTTATCAAGATGGCAATGTCCTATACAAGGGCCCAATTTGCAAAGTGTAGTGCTCAATAAATATTTAAGGAATGAATAAATGAAGAAAAGTGGAAAGTAAAGTAACACTTGCAAAGATGAGTTGTTTTAGCCCAAACACACAAAATGTTCTTTTGCAATTTAAAAAAGCTAGAACCTAAAAGCCTGCCTAAAAAGCAATCTAAAAGCGTAGGACCTGGAAGTCACAGAGTGCCTTGGTGACACTAGAGCTCACCTTGTCCTGTAAACTGGCTTAGGTGCATATCATGATTCAGGTTCCAAGTCAAATTTTGCATAGTAGATGGGTCACTGGCCTCTCCCTCTGAGGTTTTTTTTTGTTTGTTTTTAAATAGGGTTCAAATATTTGGGCTTCTCCCAGACATAACAAAGAGTATGGTGGCGTTTTCATTTCAAAGCCTTAATTCCCCTGAAATTGATTTTTCTCCCCAAATGAGACAGCTCACAGAATGAATGTACCCTTAAGGATCTTAGCATACATCACTATGTGAATCACAGGTACACCACTACTGCAAATGTTAAACAAATGCTGTCAATGACAAACAAAATATCACTATGTCAATGCAGGCTCATCTAACATGCTGAGAAAGAACAGGTGTTATAAGATAACAATCATGATAAAGTCACAGCTAACCAATAGGGAAAACAAACCAAATTTAGATTAATGGCACTAACAAATTCATAAGCAGACTATGGCACTGAACTTTGACCATGTAAAATGTGATTGTAGAAGAAATAGGACTCATCAGGAACTTACCTCGTCAGACAAGGGAAGAGATGCTAACAAGGACAAAGCTGAAAATGAAAATAAAATCATGTGGTCCATTGTGCACTATTTTAATATGCTCCTAAAAATAAGGTTGAGTGTTGTTGGGGTTTTTTTTCTGCTTTATTTAAATTGTGTGAAGTACCTTTAATTTAGTAAAGCAACTCCTGCAAAAGACAAAAGTTCATCTTCCTATCAGTGTGACAGTTTGCTACTGGCACAGACAAGATATGTTGAAACCAATTACCTTGGTAATTAATCTCTTCATTATTCCTTTCAAAGCAAAAGAACCATAGAGTATCCTTCATAACAATCAATCCTTGAACAGAAATGCTAAAAAGAAAAGGAAGATTGTATATTGCCATGAAATTAAAGTCCTCAAAGAAGTCCTGAGTTCTCATCCCCACCTCCAAAACACAAAATCCTTAACGAAGGGTAGGCCTTGGGAAACAAGCCCAATTTAAGGTGTGATGGGTGGTCTGATCTGATAAGAGATTGAGTTTAGCAGATCCCATACCTCTTCCTCTCAAGAATCATTCTAGTTTATGCCTGTTAGGGGAGCAGAATTACTTTTGGCCCTGTGAACATAGAAATCACCCTCTGCTTTTCACTGGCCCATGGCATCATTCTGATTACTGTTTTGTGTACAGGTCATTTAACTTCCTTGTTATTATGCTTCTAGCTTCTCCCCATTAAAACAGGGGAGATGCCCACCTTGCAACCATGCTGTCATGATTTTAAAAATTTGAAAAAGGAAATCTATAAATGTTTTATCTGCTACTAGGAGGGATGCCAAATATTCTCAATAACACTAATAGCCATATACTGTTGCATGATATTGTCAAAGACACTTTGGAGTCAGATTCAGGTTTTGAGATAAGCATCACCATTTGTTACTTGCATAACTTTGGGCAGTTACTCAACCTCTCTGAACCTGAGTTTACTCACCTGCAAAAATGAACCTAATTAGTTCCTTCTTACTGGGTTTGTAGTCAGGATTAAATTATGTATACAAAAGTACCTGGCACAGAATATATACTTATAAATGTTATTGGGTTGTCAGAAGAGTCATGACGCATTTTTGCAAAGAAAAGCACAGAAAAAATATGTCATGACTTTTCCGACAACCCAATAGTTTCATTTCATTCATTTGAAGCCAGAAGACTTAAGTTCAAGTCCTTACTTTGCTACTTATTAGCTACAGCAAGCAACCTTAAGGAAGTTACTTAACCTTGCTGAGCTCTAGTTTTCTCATCTGTAAAGTTGCTGTGAGGATTAAATAGAACTATATATGAAAGTGTACTTCCAGATAGTCTGCTAGGCAACCCCTGCATGCAGCAATAGTATGGTTCATAAGAATTGCCTCTATCCCCACTCCCTCGTATCTCTGTGGGAACATCCAATAGTGTGCTATGAGCTGTATGTGTGTGTGTGTGGGGGGGGTAGGGGCAGGGGGGAAGGGAGGCAGAAAACAAGGTCCCTGCCCTCAAAAACAATGGGATAGTCAAATGAAAAATTTGTTAGTCTAAGGCTTTTTACTTTGTTTTGATTGTGTATGGTCTATGAATTCCAATGAGCTCATCAAGCAATGATGGACTCAATAGAAAGTAGGCTCCTGATCACTAGGAATTTTTAAGCCAAAGCTGGATGACAACTCATTTGAGAAATAGAAGGGATTCTTAAGGCTCTCTGACGTGAAGTAAAAAAAATTGTATGAGAGAGTATGAAATAAAGTATAAAGGCACTCTTGGCTCTGTATTACGTTCCTATTGCTGATGCAACAAATTACCACACATTTAGTGGCTTAAAATAACACCAGTTTATTCTCTTATAGTCCAGGAGGTCAGAAGTCTAAAACCAAGGTGTGAGCAAGGCTATGTTCTTTCTGCGGACTTCAGGGGAGAATCCTTTCCTTTCCTCTTTCAGCTTCTGGAGGCTGCCCACATTCCTTGTCGCATGGCTCCTTTTTTACATCACTCCTACCTGGTTTCTGTCATCACATCTACTACTTATTCTGACCCTGCTGCCTCCCTCCCTCTTATAAACACCCTGTGATTACATTAAGCCCACTTTAATAATCCAGGATAATCTCCCCCACCTCAAAATCCTTAACACAATCATATCTGCAAAGTCCCTTTTATCATGTAAGATAGCATATTCACACATTCCAGGGATTACAATGTAGACATCTTTAGGGGCCTATTATTCAGCCTACCATAAGTACTGCAGCTCAGAGATAATCACTGGGATCTGAAAAATCAGAATGATGTTTGTGGAGGTGGTACACCTGGAAGAGTATGAAGATAAAGAAGAGGTCACTCCTAGATTAGGAAATGACATGAACACAAGTAGTGGGTGAAGAAATCAGCATAATTTACATGGAGACTATTAAAGAGACTGGTGTACCATATAAGACGCTCCCATGTATAAGACGCACCTTAATTTTGGGGCCCGAAATTTGAAAAAAAAATGTATTACATAAAGTTATTGAACTCAACTTTTATTCATCATAAAATTCATACAACTCCTCATTACTGTCAAAACTCCCAACCATTAGCTTGTCCTCATCTGTGTCTGATGACGAATCACTGTCTTCATATATTGCCTCGTCCTCAGTTCCATCTATGGCATTTAAAATCTACAATCACTATATAAGACGCACGCAGTTTTTAGACCCCACATTTTTCGAAAAAGGGTGCGTCATATTGGGAAAATACGGTAAATGCAGTATGTGTGAGAGATGCAATCAAATGGGAGGAAGAAAAGGTCAGGTCACAAAGTCAAGCAAAGGGATCCAAATTTAGTAGAATGGCAATTGGGAATGACCGCAACTTCCTAAGTATGTTCCCAAGTTACATTATACGAGTAAAAGCAATATTTTCAGAATGATTGGTCTAGCCAAGTATAGGTGGGAGAGGGGACCCCAAGGGGAACAAAAGCTGGATAGTTATAGCTCCTCTGAAGCATCACTGATATCTAAGCTGCTTTCATAACACCTGAAAACAAATTGGCAACAATTTCAAAGGAGAGAGAAAAGGACAGGGCAGAATCATTTCAGTCTCTGTCCACCTAGAGGAGCACAAGCCACAGACAACAACCAAGTGCCTCTCATAGTGTTTTGCAATGGAATATAATTTTTATGAGCTCAGAGCACTTTTAAAGAAAGAGAAAGAAAATCTACCAGTCTTACCTCATTGCCACATTACTTCCATCAATGACAACTGGCCTCAAATTGTCACTGTTGTCTATTTCATCTTCAAGAGACAGTTCAGGGCTTGCAATCTCTCTGGAGCTGGGCCCCCGAGGCACTAACAGACTCAAGTTGACCTGCCCTTCCGAATCACTTTTGTTCCCGAGCCTGACAAGTTCTGCCAATACATCATTAATAAGTGATTCTGGGCCCAGCTTGTTCAGCACTGACTGAATCTGTTCCTCTGCATAGCCCAGCTTTAGAGCAAAATCCATCTTAGCTTGGTATTCCTTCTCCAAGTCAATTTTCCCATCCTGTAGAATGCTGCTCTGGGAGAAGCTTGGACGATCTAGGCAGGGTGATCTACAGAGCTGGCGGTGTGGCTTGGAAGGAATTTCCTTTTTCTTTAACTGAACATCCCCGGGTTGGCAGCTGTTGTCATTGTTGCTACCGCTCTTAAGGCTCATCTGTTCAGGGTCACTCTCAGAGCTCATCCACTCTTCAGGGTCAGCATTGCTGTGCTCTGTGCTGTCTTGTTTAGGCTGCTGCTTCTCTTCCTTGGAGGCACTCTTCTTCATTTTTGGTGTCTCCACTGCAGCCGTGGCCGTCATCCCGTTCAGTGGGTCTGAGATCTAATCAGCTCTTTTTCTTTTTAGCCTGTTTGGAATCCACGTATAGTGGCATTTCTTCATGGTAAAATGTAGTGGTAGTGATGGTGCAAGAGTATGTCTGTTCGGTTTGGTATGTTCAGATGTTACCAGTCCCTACAAATGAACAAACATACCACAATCATATTTAGTAAAATTCTGGTATTTTACTGAATACCAGAGTATTTTTGAATATAGCGGTTTCTTCCTAAGAAACTACACATTGTCAGATATTTTATTTTTCTGCTTGAAATGGTTGGACTCACCTTACATTAAAAATATAAAGTCTCTAATTCTAGACATGACTTTCATTGGTGGCAATAATGCTGTAATTTCCACACACACAAAAATCACAGCTAAAGTTAACTGCTTATCACAACAACTTTAAAAAGAGAAACATGGCATTTCAACAGGGTACAGGAATAATATATATATATATATATATATATATATATATATATATATCCATGAAAGGACTCTCTCTCTTTCTTTCTTCCAGGTAAGGTTTCCAGATCCCACATCAGATCCTTCTTGCTAAAGCTGAGCTCCACTCCTATAGAATACAACCTCTCCAGCACTACTCTTTGCAAAATGTTAGAGATCCCATCTACTAGGGAAATTAGAAAACCCTTAAAATTGCTTTCAAGCAATTGAAGCAGGCTATAAGGGTAACAAAGAGAGGTATGCTCCAGATAAGGAAAGAGTTTTGTGCACACTCATGAATTGTACCTGTAGTCTCTTTTATTTATTGTAATTATTGTATTTAAAAAGAAAAGAAAATCAACCCAACTTGCATGAGAAACCAGAACATTTTAAGAAGAATATTAATTACAGAAGAGAATATGGGACAGTTTTATTTCTAAACTTCTCCTCTCACCTACCTCATCTGTCCCTGCAGGTTCTAACCTGGCCAAAGTGTTTCCTTCAGTTTGAGCCTTGGTTTCCTCACATGTAAAATGAGGATATTAAGGGCCGGCTGAGTGTCGCAGTTGGTTAAGAGCTCGCTCAAGAGTTTGAGCTCTAAGCAACAGCGGTTCGAGTCCAGCCCGAGCTGAGCAGCCGCTGAGCTGGCAACAGGTGGCAGGATGGCTCAGCTAAAAAAAAAAAATAATAATAATAATAATGCTATTAAAATGAGAATATTGATAGTTACCTCACCGGGTAAGGATTACATATAATGAGTAACAAAAGTGCTTAGAAAAGTGAATAGAACATAGTAGCTTCTCAATATATGTAATGCGTGCAACAGACACCACCAGGGGTTTGGGTTTTTTGTTTTGTTTTGTTTTATTTTGTTTTGTTTAAGAAGGAAGAGAAGGAGAAGAGTAAGGAGAGTAAGGAGAGGAAGGAGGAGAAGGAGAAGGAGAAGGAGACTGACCGTGAGGCAAGGCTGTAGACCTGCGAGCACTGACAAGTTTTTTGGATAGCAGCTGAACTCACTAATCTAAAACCAAACTATCTATGTAACCAGTGTAATAGGGCTTTCCAGTTACACTTCAATTCTATTTATACAAACAAGAAGAAAAGCTACCAATAGTTCTATCTAAGAATAATATGGGTAGGGCCAGCTGAGTGGCTCAGTTGGTTAAGAGCTCGCTCAAGAGTTTGAGCTCTGAGCAACAGCGGTTCGAGTCCCGGCCCAAGCTGAGCAGCCGCTGAGCTGCCAACAGGCGGCAGGATGGCTCAGCTAAAAAAATAAATAAGTAAATAAAAATAAAAATAAGAATACTATGGATAACTACATCCTTACCTAGGAAAGTCACATTTGGAAATATTATATGCACACAGAATCGATATCTCAGAACTGACATTCAGGGAGCATAATGATCATACTACCTCTAATGATCATACTACCACTTGTGACTTCAACATTTTCCCTTAATGATTTAGCCAACACATAGACACCCATTTCATTTTTACCTCTCCATTAATCTTTGCTATTCAAAATTTAAACACTATTTCCTTTATAAATTCCACATTTACTATCTGTTTTACATTTCATTCTCTTCAAAATAACTGTAGGGGGCTGGCCGAGTGGCTCAGTTGGTAAGAGCACGAGCTCTGAACAGCAGGGCTGCCGGTTCGATTCCCACATGCACCAGTAAGCTGTACCCTCTACAGCTAAGATGGTGAACAACAGCTCAGGAGCTGGGCTGCCGTGAGTGGCCGGCGACATGGGCTGCAGTGGGCTGTTGTGAGCTACCATATGTGGTCTGCAGCCAGCGTGAGCGGCCGGCAGCTGGCAAAAGCTGTCGTGAGCCACCGTGAGTGGCCATCTAATGGCTGGGGACCAATTTGCCTCAGCCGGGAAGCGCACAAGGATCATAACACCAACATGGGCCAGTGAAGTGGCATCCTCCACAACTAGACTGAAGAACAAAAGGACAACTTGGCTGTTCCCCTTCCCAATTCCCCAACACTGTTCCCTTCCCCCAATTCCCCAATAAAAAAATCTTAAAAAAAAAATCTAGAACATTGAGATTTCCCACCCTGTATTTATTCAAAGCTCCAAAGTCACTTAAAAACAACTGTTTATAAGACTAAATATATATTTTCTTGGCAAATGAGAGGTACCTGTAAAAGACATGTTTGACTGCTCTTAGCTACTGGACCATAAAATGTATTTCTCCTTCTCTACTGCCTGATTTTTGCTCTGTCCAAATTGACATTGGTGTGAGCATTTTTATCATGTTCATGTAGATATACAATAGCAAATTTAAACTCAGGGAAAATCCTACAACATAGGAAATTCTCATTAAAATTACTAAATAATAACTAAATTAGTGATTATTGTGAAATTTACCTCCTCAAATAACCTAAAAAATAACCTAAAGTAGAAGAGAAATAAGTGACTTAGCAGACATAAATTTCTATTTGCCGTTCAAAGCCTTAAGCAATGAAATTTTTTTAAAATGTTGGTTGTCTGTCCTAGAAAATACGTAGGTGTGTAGGTATCATGTAATTTTTGTGTTTGTTTTGTTTTACAATGCAAACTTCTTCAGGCAAAGATTGCAAGAATGCCTTTTTATTCAAAAGAACAGTCACTCAATGCCAGACACTGTGATAAGCCCAGGGTCTAGGAAGAGAAACCAGAACTGATCCTGTCCTCAGAGAACTCTCAAACTAGTAAAAACTGGCCAGAAGTGGCCCTAGAAAGTGTTGAAACACAATTCTATACAGGGTGACCATTTAATTATAGTCTAAGCTGGGACACTTTTAAGAATGAAAGGAGCATTATTATTATGTCAGAACAATAGGCATAAACCGGGGATGTCTCAGGTAAACCTGATGTATGGTTGGTTGGTCCTTCAAGCTACTTGAAAATTTCCATTGACATACCGAAGAGGGAATGTTCAATTCTGTCTGTTGGGTTGTAGATGGGGGTGGTGGTTAAAGGGATTAGGAAAGGATTCAAGAAGGATATCATAGGTCTTCCAGTAAGATGGCAGAATAGACAGACACTGTGTCGACTGCCTCCCAGGATCAAATCAAAATTACAAATACTTTATAAGATATTCATCCTCGGAAGTTCCCTGAACACTAGATGAACAGAACTTCTAAACAAAGGACTTAAAGAGGAGGCCACGTCAAGTCCGATAGGAGGGGCGAAGATGAGAGAGGGCGAACCCCGTGAGGGACACCTCAGAGGTGGGGAGGCTTCTCCGGTTGGGGGCGAGACCCTCCGGCCCCACACCACGCTCACCACCCCAGAATTACTTTGCCGGGAAGAGGAGTTCTATGATAGCTAGAAGTAGAAAATAGTGAGGACTCTCTTTGCTCAACTTGGTGAGGCTGGGGGCGGCTGGAGAAACAGTGGAGCCGGCAAACTGACTCACTCGCTGGTGAGCACTCACCCAGTTCCTGGTGGAGGGAGTAGCTGTGTGAGCGGGGCCCAGGAGCCTGCAGGGAACAACTGAACTGAGTGCCTTTGGTGCAGGAGCTGGAGGTTTTGGGACCATGGTTCCCCTGGTGTGGAGCTTGCACACGAGTAGTGCACAGGAGGGCGCCATTTTTTCAGAGTTGGGCTCTCCCACAGAGGGTCAGGTCCAGTACTGCATTAGTCTGCTGGAATTGGCGCAGGAGTGTGTGTGTGTGTGCGCGTGTGTGTGTGTGTGCACGTGCGCACGAACATGTATCTTTGGATACCCACCCTCCGCACTGCTTATGCTGTGTAGCCAGGAAAACGCCTGGCAGGCGCACTACAACTACAACAGGCTGCTTATTGAGACCCGGGAATGCGCGACTCGCCTTAGGTTCCCGCTCTCCGCACTGCGTGTGCAGAGTTGCCAGGGTGGTGACTGGCTGTCGGGCTGCTCAGCCTGATCTGCTAGTGGCTGACTGGGGCAGGCTGAGACTGGAAGTCATCCTGAGAGTGTAGGGCCATGAGCTGTGCACCTCCATGATTCGGCCGGGGCTTTCCTGGCAAGTTTGTGCGGGCTGGTTGCCGATGCAGGAGTGCATGCTGCTCTGACTTGGTGGGGGCCACTGACCACACCCTGTGGTGCCTTGGGGCCCCGCCCACCTAGAGCTGTGTTGACAAGGGCACCCTGAGCCCCTGGTGCCTGGCCCCCACCTCCACAGGCCACACAGGGTTTTTTTTGCAGCAGCAGAGAGCCCGCAACAACCTGTGAGGATTTTTGGTGGAGAGCACCGCTCCAGAGCACACAGCCACTAATTGTGGGAAGCTTACTTCAAGTCTAGAGGGAGGTTAGTGAATTTTACAAAAAAGAATTAATACCTATTCTCCTCAAACTATTCCAAAAAATACAGAAGGAGGGAAGGCTCCCAAGCACATTTTATGAGGCCACTATTACTCTGATCCCAAAATCAGAGAAAGATATTACAAAAAGAGAAAACTACAGGCTGATATCCCTAATGAACATAGATGCAAAACTCCTCAACAAAATACTAGAAAACCAAATTCAGCATCACATTAAAAAGATCATACACTACAATCAAGTGCGATTCATTTCTGGTATGCAAAGTTGATTCAATATTTGCAAATCAATTAACGTAATACATCACATTAACAAAATGAAAAATAAAAATCATATGATCATATCAATAGATGCAGAAAAAGCATTTGACAAAATCCAGCAACCATTTATGATAAAAAC